ACACGAAAACCACAGGCACCAACACGCGGCAGGCGGCGCGGAAATTTATTGTTAGATTAACTAGAATTTCACCATACATACTCGCAAATGTTTGGTCTTTCGTATAGTGAAAGAAAAAAGAAAATCGGCCGGTAACTTTTTGAGTTATTGGCGTGTAAACGCAAAAAAGTCGCTCATATGGCAGATTTGACCTCATTTGACCTCATTTGACCTTGAAGATATTGCCCTAGGGTCATGAAATTCATACACAACAGAGTTCCCCATGGCCCCCACCTACCCTCCAAATTTCGTCTTTCTAGGTCCAGTGGAAGCTGAGATCTTAGGGGGGGGGCGACATCCGCCCCCCCTTCCACTGGGCGTAGTACTCGCAACCCTTCCACTGCGCGTGTTAAAGGTAGTGTGCCACCTTCGAATAATGATTTCCCATTTTATTTTTCCTAGGATAAGAAGCTTCTGTTTTTACCTAATATCGCAAAAAATCAAAAATGGGCCTAAAATAGTGCTTTTTTCGCCTAAAAGTTTATCGGTTTTTCGATATGTATAACAATTATAGTGGGCTGACCGGCAAACAGGCGTCGGCAACAATCACGAATGCGGCGCACATGTGACAATAAGCAAAGGTCATTATAGAGTTACGACGTACGGGAATGAGTTATCAGCTGTCTAATCGTAGACAACACAATGTCGAAATTAAACTGTAGGGGAGACCCGGGAGGTATGGGCCGGTTTTGTGAAAAGGCAATTTTCTTCCCGTGGGGAGTGGCTAGGCCCGGTTTTTCACTCTGAGCACGTGAAATTGCCTTTCGCCTGCAAAGTGTGCCTGATATTAGGCATCTGGGATCAACTATTTAGTCTCGAGATAAATCTCAATAAATAATGTGCTTTTTCGATCCGTCAGAATACACCGGGAGGTATGGGCCTTGGCTCGGGAGGTATGGGCAGGTGCCATGTTTCATATTCTTTTATCGACAATGAGAACAATACTCTTAGCTGGTATCTACCATGATCTCTCTTATAACCTAGGAACCGCATAAGCGGCCAATAGCTTACTTCATGGAGGTTACTTGGGCACATATGTATTTTGGTAAACTCAATTATGCACCATGAAATAAGATAAATAATATTTTTCTGTTCGAATGAAATTTGAAGTTAAATTTTCAACCTTGCGCGACAAAAATAAAATTTATTGAAGGTGACACTAAATGAAAGCATCTTTTTATTGAATTAGGATCAACGGGAGTGGGTGGCCCGAACCTCCCGGTTAGGACGCCAGAATTTGCGTAGCATCTCAGCTCATAATCTTGCAAGAAAACTTAAAACTGTCTATCCAGTCTTAATTTGCATGCTTTAAACTTTATGTTAGCATGGGTCTGATATCATAAAACGAGCCTGGTTCAAATTTATCACGAATTTTCTGTATGTACAGTATTTTACTCGAAGAGGGCAAAAGCGCTTTATCGCCGCTCATTGCCAAAGAAGACTGAGGAAGATTTTGAAAATCACGTGCGTTGTATAACGGAATGGCTGCTACCAGTTTACGCGGTCAAATGTGTAGAAATACGCAACACTTCTTCAAAACTGCGATGGCCCATACCTCCAGGGGGCCCATACCTCCCGGGTCTCTCCTAAGCCTGTATTGGTATTGTTTCTTTAATTTGGCTGTCGAACATTAATTTATGGTTTGAAATATTATTTTATGTAAAATAATTTATATGAAACAGCCGTCTCTAAAGTTATGACCCCATCTCACCACATGAAAGTGGCAGAAATGACAATGATCAGCTGACGCATTTTTCTTGGCCGAAGTCAGGGCCCTGTTTCACCGGTGATAGCAGCACGCTGCTATCAAATTGCGCGAGCTGACGTAATGTGATGACGTCATACTGCTGACGTAAGGGGCAACTCTGGCGCACGATTGCCGCAATATTGTTTTACGTCATCAACTAAATGTTCGAAGCTTACGTCCAAATTTTCCTTAAACCCAACTTCTTTTAAATACATCATATTAAAAAAATATATATTAAAAATAAATATACTATCATGACTGCGAAAGCTCTTACTTTTAGGCGCATACGTCACTTAATGCCGCGGCCAAGGTCACGGCAATCGTGCGCCGGAACTGCCCATTACGTCAACAGTATGGCGTCATGACTAGAGATTGCAATCCCGAAGCGTTTTGCCAATCCCGGGATCCCGAAAGTTTTTATTTCGGGATCCCGGGATCCCGGGATCCCGGTCTTGTCACTAAAGGTCGTAAGAATGATTTCCTACTGACATATATGTTTTGCGTCTTTTAGCTTACCACAACCAAAAGCCATCCTTAGACCATGTCATTTGCATTAAAAGCGATTGAATTTGCGAAGGAAACGTTTCGATTTGATTACCATTTATTCCCAATTGGCCTTTATAAAACTGTGCGTCGACCAGTGCGTTTACTATCTCGTCATTAAAGGGACTATCCCACCTTTAACATGGGGTTTGAGTTGAGATAGCCAAGTTTGCGGCGAGGTTCAGAAACCACTATCTATCTAGGTTGCAACCCCCGCGGCCTCTTGGTGATGAAGAAATTCGTTCCCTTCATTTGAAAATGGGCCTTGTACAAGGCCCTATCTTCAACATGGAGCGACCGTTAGTGTGACGTGTCGTCACCTCGTTTAGTCATTCTGATTTAAATGGTTTGTTCGTTGAAAAATCGCTTAAAACTTGGTCTGAACTTTGTTGTGGTGCCTACAGAGTAAAAAGAATCAGCTTTATGACAGTAATGTGGCCTGGGGAAGGAGGTAACTTTGGGCTGTGACGTCACATATTTGAAAGTTTGTGTTTGGAATATGGGAAGCCTAAGATGTTTAATGAAAAATAAATGCCAGAACCGTGTTCCTGGTCATCCAATCTATAAAGTCGGGCACAATTTAACTGGTTTTAACAACATTTTAGAAGGTGGGATAGTCCCTTTAAGACGGGTTCCAGCACATCCACGCCTCACTCACTCTTCGTCTACGCTACTCGTAGTTAGCGCGACAGTCTTAAGGCATTGCTGGTAGGTCTGTCTATTTTAAAACTCGCGACCAGTGTACGCCAAATTTGGCAGCTCCCTATTTCACAATGTTTTCAAGACGTCGCTTGGTCACTTCACCTCCTTCCGGTTCCGCTTTCATCACTAATATCTCTCAGACTTTGCTCCGAAGTCGCTTTGAGGGCAGAGTCACTGACTGGGAGAGCTCCACTCTACCGTCTTGAAGGTTTGAATCAGTGAGCTCTGCCGTCACTTGCGTGACATCTGCGACATCTTTCTGCGACACGAGCTCAAAGACTGTCTTGATGACCTCTTTTGTTCCGGCCACGGACGGACAAGTCAGAATCGTTGAACGATCCGTGATCCTGATAAAGATGTTGCAGCACTGATGCTGCAATTTTTTGGCGTTCGGGACCCTTTTTCGTACACATTTAAGCGGCTTATCCGCTGTGGGTGATACCCGGGAGCTATCAACACGGTCGATTGTGGACGGCCGCTACGGGGTGCCAGCTTAATAGTTTCTCTGCTTTATGTCACGCAGCACCATGAACAGTGTAAATAAGACTCGTGCAGCGGCTGCATTCTTTTTATGGTGAAAAACTGATTTTTCGGGATCCCGGGATTGGCGGACTTTCGGGATCGGGATCGGGATTAAAATCCCGCCGGGATTCCGGGATCCCGATCCCGGGATTGCAATCTCTAGTCATGACATGACGTCAGCTCGCGAAACGTGATAGCAGCGTGCTGCTATCACCGGTGAAACAGGGCCCAGAGCGCGCGGCCCGACGCACCACCACCGCACCACAAAGTATGAGCAGAAGCCGCGCCCAAAGCCAGGGCCCCGGTAACGTGAGGTAGCCGAGTCGGGGCAGCGTGCGCTGACCCAAGCCGGGGCCGCGGCTTTGGGCGCGGTCTACCGCATCCCCGCGGGCAGCCCCGGGCTAGCACATGACACCGGGAGGACGCGCGGCCCCGGCTTGGGTCAGCGCACGCTGCCCCGACTCGGCTACCTCACGTTACCGGGGCCCTGGCTTTGGGCGCGGTCTACCGCACCACCTAACAGGCGTGTTCGAAACCGCAGGAGATGATGATGAACGGGTTTATCGAAACTTGATTGGATGAGCCTATCGGTAATTGCGATTTCAGTGTGTGCATTTATTGTTCATAGTGGTGTGAAATGTGGTTGGGGGGCCAGGAGGAGGGCCTCCTGGTGGACTCCGCCTTCATGTGGTGGGAGGTGTGGGCCTCCGGGCCCGTCCCCGGCCGGGACCTTCGGGCCCAAGACAACGGCCGGGGAAACCAAACGGAGTCCTCGGTGCCCCATCGGAGGGGTGCCTGGCGGTGGCCCCCCGGCCGCCGCCGTCGCTGCTGCTCTCGGACTTCACTACTACTATTACACCCGAGCGAGGAGGAGGTCCGAGGCAGCGGCGTGGTGGCGGCCCTGGGGGCCGCCGCCAGGTACCTCCAGAGCCGAGAGGCTACGTAGCGACCGCTGCGTGGGAAAAACAACAACAACAACAACAACAGCTCTCCAAATTCGACGCCGGCTTGGCTTTGGAACCGCAACAGACCGCGGAGGTCAATGTCACCGCTAGGGCGGCGGCGGATTTGCTGCGCCCGGGCCCTCCCAGTTCCGCACAAAGTTCCAACCGTGTCCATGGGATAGGATGGGATCGGATCTACGCGCCCTAACCCACAACAACGGGATCGGATCTCAGATCCATGCACATGTCTGGTGCCTACCTACTTTCAACAGGTCAGCGCCGCCCCTGACATGGATTTTATTCACTTTTAAAATGTGGTACACAACTGTGGGACACCCTGTATGACCTACGATCAATGTGATGACCTGAACGGAAAAGGGTATATTGCCCATCAGTCGATCTGATATTTATCGTAGAAAGCAGCATTGTCAGAATGGCTGCTGATTTGTGTTGCCGTTTGGGGTCAGCTGTCGGCGGGCTGTCGGCGGGGGGAGCGCACTCACCCGTCATTGCTGGCGGTGCCGGCAGGGATGGAGAGGCCGCGCCGCAGTGCCGCCAGCTGCTCGGCCCGCTCCAGGCGGCGCACCCGCTCCAGCTCGAACGCCTCCTCTATCTCGGGCTTCTTCTCCCACACCTGGCGGCGGCCAGGGGTGTGTGAGTCCAGGACTGGACTGGACCACACTGGACTGGACTGGACTCAACCACACTGGACACTGGTATTCGAAAATAAATGTCGGGAAAGTGCAGCATTCGAAAGTGGCGAGATACTCTAATTAGTGTCCATGACTAACAATTACCGGTTTGGGCAGTTACAACATCGAAAAAAGGCTTAATCCAGAAATATTTAATATCGGAGAAGAATAACCGTATGCTCACTATCTTTTAACAATCCAAAATTAGCCTAAAATGAATGAATATGTTACAGGCAAAGTGAAAACTCGGGCATTTTGCAAAATGCCTAGGCAATTTGCAAAATGCCTGACCGGCCAGGCATTTTGCAAAATGCCCAGGCAGTTTGCAAACTGCCTGACCCACCAGGCATTTTGCAAACTGCCTGAAATATTTTTCCAGGCATTTTGCAAAATGCCTGACATCAAACTCGCACTAGCGACGATGTATAGGTAAGCATCATTTGTAACTGCCGCTTACAAAAGTTAATCGCTGTCAATGCGCACCAAGTGAGGGGATACTGCGTTCTCCGGGTAGCGCCGCCGAGTTCAGGTCACTGAGCCTCAGCGGCCGTCGGGTGCCGAACACCGGGCGTGGTTTCGTGGGTAAACATGCGCTCGGTACAATGATTGTACTGTTTCTAGGAGCTCTAGGTGGCTTTTTGAAAATACTATGGGTGGATATTGATCAGAGGCCTGTTTCACTAAAAACTTGTATTTACAAGTGTTTGTAGTTTACAATTCATAAGTATTTTTACCAACTACGTAAAAACCGATTTCACTAAGCTTCATCGCCAGTGGCACCTCCGATAAGCAAATGTTTGCAAATAAACTTGTAAACAGTAAAATTGTTTCTAGTCAAGAACTATAGCATGTTAAAGATATTGCTTCTTTGTATCAAATATTGTCTAGTATTCATGTCAAAAGCTGCCTAATCAAATTATAAATAATGATGCTGTTGGAAAAAGATATAAATGATAGTTCACATTGTCCTATTATTGAAAGAAAATAACACGCAAAACATTTGACAGCAGAAGACTGTTGAATGCAATTATGGCGCGCGAATGACAAAACATGACGATATTTTAATGCCGATTATTTTGCTTCTTAGGGTGTGTGCTAAGTAAAAATTGAGCATGAAACGACTCAACAAAGCACAGTTGTTCTAAATATATGACTTTTTTTTGCATTATTGCACAAAAAGTATCAAAATTCCGAACGTCAGGACCACTGGAATATCAGGTTTGTAATTACGATGTTTTCTTTCAAGTTTCTGGTCTTCATGAAACAGAAAGTTTGCGATTCCCATGTTTTCTAGCAAACCTTTTCTTGTAAAAAAGTTTGCAAATTTTAAACTCAAAATTCATGTTCAAAGGTTTCGTGAAATCCAAATCTCAAATGTTGGTAATTATTTCTTGTAAACTCAAGCTTTTTCTTTGTAAATACAAGTTTTATTTGTTAGTGAAACAGGCCTCTGAAAAGAATACTCTTCCAATTTACGAAAATTTGATTGTTACACGTTTAGGTACATTATCAATCGTCTCTGCCGGAACAGTTGCCCACCGGGGCAGAATACTGGACATCGCAGCTTTTACACACGGCTACAACTCCGTATATACGAAAGGTACGGAGACGGTGGCTCAAGTCCATTCAGCGTTGGCTCCATCTCGACAGAATTGACGCAATACGTAGGTATACAGAGTGTCACGAACTTGATACGCGGTTGCCGCGGTCTTGTCCCTCCATGCCCCTCCTGAGTGTTGAATGGATGTAATTTGAACGGGTCCGGCACCAGGGCATCTGGACCAGGGCCTCGGCATCTAAATCGGTCATCCCCCGGTATCTGAAGATTTTACCCTGAAGCTGAAGCCGCTCAACCTCAGGCTGCAACCCTGACTTACCGTCATCCATAAGTGATGCAGCTGGATTTCGACAAAACCCACCAAATCTGGACGATTCAGGACTAGAGATTCAGACTTGTCAATGATGAGGCCGTGAGGCGATATTAGCCGTTTTCACGACGGCCATCTGGTACACATTTGGTTCACATCTGGTGCAGATTAGGTGCATATTTGGTCAAACTGGTTCAGTGTGTCTCTTAGTAGCCATCAGCTAGGGTTGTACTATTTGCTTATATGCCTCCTTTGTCATATTATCAGAGAGCATCATCGGTTAAAACACTGAAATACATTCATAAAATAAAGATATTTGCTGTAAAAGAGATTATGTGCAGAGTTGGTCAAATTAGGTGCAATCGCCGGATAGCCCGTCGTGAAAACGGCTATTAGAGCTCTTCTTAGTCACTAACCGTCCCGACAAGCCGGCCAACAGCAGCTCAGAGGCGCTGCACCGTCGAGACGGCGAAGCACCCACTGGGCACTGGGGATTCTCATTTGGGGCATGATGGGCTACAGAGGCCTATTTGAGCTTCACCAGGTGCCGCGGGGACAGACCATGTGGCCGCTGATAACTTGTCAGCGAGGTGCTGGAGAACACTGACGCAACTACGATGCAATACATTTCGGGACACAAGTAGAACATCCCGAAACAATTTCGTGACACCCTGTATTCGTGAGCGTGGAATGTGTCACATGTGCCCACAACACATGTGAAATGTGCTGTGGGGTCAGGCACAGTGGAACGTTTATGATCAACGCCTGTAGTCAACAAAAACCGTGGAATATATGGAAACCCAGGCATTTTGCAAAATGCCTGGCGGGTCAGGCATTTTGTAAAATGCCTAGGCAGTTTGCAAAATGCCTGGTGGGTCAGGCAGTTTGCAAACTGCCTGGGCATTTTGCAAAATGCCTGGCGTGTCAGGCATTTTGCAAATTGCCTAGGCATTTTGCAAAATGCCCGAGTTTTCACTTTGCCTGTAACAAATATATTTCGGAAACGTTCGTTCTTCAGTTCAAAAGTTAACTATACAAGGCACAGAAATGTACAAATTATTGAACGTCACAAAAGCGCCGAATTAACTGATCCCACCAACGGATATTAATGACAATCTCGTGCCATATAAGTAGTACGGCCTCTTTTAACCAAAGTAAGACCGTCCTTGGCAGTCGTCAGCGTCGGACGTGTTTTTGATCGTCCCGTTATCTTTGCCCTTTTCGCGTAACTAATCAGTTTTGCGCATAAATAATAATTTTGAAGTGTTCGTAATTTACCGTTGCATACTTTGGTGATACTTTGAATGACTGAGTAAGTAAAGTGATCAAGATATAAGCTTGCGAAAATATAACATTTTCGGTAAAATCCATACAATTCGAGTAGACAAATCTGACCTACATTGCTCGATTTTTCATTATTGATCGCGCGCTGAAAGTTTATCACTCCCTTCGCTCACTTGGCTTCAACGGAGATGTACCGTATTTGGTGTAGGTATTTCTCCGGCATTATTTGGTATTACATGTAACTTTTTATGCCTAAAAAAGAATGCTGCAAATGCTCCACTAGGCCATGCACTGGGTGCAGCTGTGTAAAGCATGGACGGCAATGTACCAGCTGCCGCTTTGGTGAGCGGTGTCCAAACAGAAAAGGAAGCAGCGGCACAGAAACGGATGACCTCGCCGACTTCATAGCTGACCTCAAGCGTCATGGCCGAGGCCGAGTGCTTCCTCACATACCAAAAAGTGCACGCACTGCTGTCGCCGACACGCTATCACAGTATATCACAACTGTGATAACTGATGGCTCACCTAGGGCTTGGAAGTCATTTCTCAGCTTCGCCTACGCAGTCATCAAAGCACCTAAGACGCGAAAAAACGAAGTACGCCACAAAACGCTTACAGCTGCAATTCGCGAGAACATCGCCAACTTCGCGAATGATGACCTCTCCGAGGACGGCAGCCGTCCAGCAGCATCTCGCCGCAAAGCGAGCGACACTAATGCTGATCTCTCCAGACACGTGTCGTCAAAGCTGGCTGACGGCGACGTGCGGGGAGCTCTGCGAATCATTACCTCAGACGACTCATTCGCGAGCCCTACCGTTGAAGTAATTGAAAGCATCGCCGACAAACATCCTGAACCGCCTCCTGATCTCCGCAATCTCGAGCCACCTGATGCCAGCACAGCCTCACTGGTTGCGACTGAAGCCGATGTCTTAAAGGCAATCAGCTCGTTCCCTCGAAGCTCGAGCGCTGGCTTGGACGGCATCCGACCAGCTCACCTGCAATGTCTTGTGGCCAAGCCCACCGCCGAGGCTGGAGCGCGACTTCTCACAGCGCTTACAGCTCTGACGAATCTCGCACTCAGCGGCCAGATCCCGGAATTCGCTCTGCGTGCCTTCTTCGGTGCTTCCTTGATAGCGCTGCGGAAGAAAACGGGAGGCCTGCGGCCGATTGCCATCGGCAGCGTTTTCAGGCGAATTGCTGCTAAAGTGGCAGCCAACAGTGTGTCCAGACGCATCGGGACCGAGCTGAGACCCACCCAACTTGGGGTTGCAACGCGCAATGGGTGTGAAGCTGCTGTTCACGCTGTTCGAGCCTTTGTGAAGCACGCCGTAAGCTCAGCCCAGCCCACGGCCATCATCAAACTTGACGTCAGCAACGCCTTCAACTCCGTAAGGCGGGACACCATGCTCGAAACCGCCCGCGCCAGAGTACCTTCCATCTACCCGTTCATCTGGCAAGCATATGCAACTGCGTCACCGCTATACATCGGAGATTCGAAGGTCTGGTCCCGCACAGGAATCCAGCAAGGAGACCCTCTGAGCTCTCTTCTCTTCTCCATGGCCATTGACGACATATCACAGGGTATTGACACTGACCTGAACGTATGGTACCTGGATGACGGCACGGTGGGAGGACCACTCGATCAAGTTACCAACAACATTGGACGCATCAAGGAACAACTTGCCGATAAAGGACTGCAGGTCAATGGCAGTAAGTGCGAGCTGGTTCTGCTGGGAGCCGACAGAGAGGTTTGGCAGCCAGATGCGCTGCTCAGGCTAACAGATCTATTG